TATTTTTTTTTGTGTTTTTTTAGGCACAACGTGCCTATATTTTTTTCCATTTTGAGCGGGAAAAGAAATCCTTAGAAACGTCAGCATTGTTCTGATCTGATTGTTGAGAGTCTGAGGGAATGGGGATGAATCGGCCGAGTTGTTGATACATGTATCGTTTTTATTTGTCGCTTTATTTACAATAAATTATTTTAAGAGTTGAATTATTTTATTTGAATAAATTACTATTTCCTACATTCATAGTGCGATATTTTTTTGTGATCTACGCTACAAATTTATAGAGGGCCTTGTGCATTTTACCTCCTAATAAACATTAGACAATGCACAAACTTGACATGCAGAAAAATGCTCAGTCACTCTGAACATATACAAAATGAACACATCGTGGTCAAGGTAAGGGGCGGCAGTCCGCCGAATATTACATATACACACCGTCTTATCTCTAAAGTATATACTTGGTATGAGTCTTTGGTAGCATGAACGCTCTGCACCACCGCCTATCACCCGTATCACCGCGTGACCGTCCGGGACTCGTCGGTGTCGTGGGAAGTTGCGTTAGGGTTCTTCAGCGGTATCCTGTCCGTGGGCACTGGCAAGTTTGGAATCTGTGCACAACGTCAAATTGTTGAGAGACGGTTCAGTACTACCGTGTGTAACGAAACTTATTCCGGAAGAATGTTTTACCTTTTTCTTGTGGGCGTGGGAGTGCATGGCGACATGCTGCTGCAGCGAGTTCGCCATGGCGGCCAGCTGCTCCTGCTGCTCTTTCTTCTGCTGCTTCTCCAGCAGCTGCTGCGCCTCCAGGATGCTCTGCTGCTGCTGCAGCTGCTGCTGCTGCAAGGCCTCCTCCACCTCGGCCGTCGTCAACATGGCTGGCGTGGAGGTCGGGGGCGCTGTCGGTCCAGAGATAGCAAGCTCAGAACACTGCGCCACAGATAAGGGCGGCGGGGGGGAGAGGGGGCACAAACCTGATGTTGTTCCCGATGAGGAGGACGACGGCGGCGCCTCGGTGGCCGCGCTGCTTGACGTGGTGTCGGCTGAAGTAACGGGGGCCTCGGTAGGGACTTCAGTGGAGTCGGTGGTCGTGGGCATGTCCGTGGCGGGCATAGGCGTCGTTGGAAGAGGCGTGGTGGTCGTGGTGGTGGGCGCCGCCGTGGTGGTCGTGGTGGTGGTCGTAGTGGTGGGTGCGGCCGTGGTGGTGTGCAGAGGCTTAGGCTTGGGCGCCGCCATCGCCGGCTCTGGCGTCGTGGCCGTCACGTTGGCCTGAACGGGGTTGCAGGGCGTGTACAGCAGCTCCACGTCGTCCAGCGCAATGGTGCCGTGCGTAGCCGAGCCGTTGAAGTTCGACGTGAAGATGAGCTGGGGACGGGGCAAAGCTCAGGTTGATGATGTCTGTGTCCGGGGGAAAGTTGGGGGGGGGGGGTCGAGTCGCGTCGCGCCGCGCCGTGAACTCACCCCCGGGGGCCTCGCGAAGTGACGCGCTGCGGTTCGCGGTAGTCCGCGTGAGTGCTTCGCGATAGGGGTGTCAGCGGAGTTACCGCGTCATGACCGCGAAGTGACCGGCGTCATCGCGTGTCTCACCCCCACCGCGGGGTACTCGTGCGAGCTCGCGAATCCGCGCTATGTCACTTCGAGAGGGCAAATTCACGGGGTGTCGCGAGTCAACCCTCCCTCATGCTGTCATACCAGTTGTCAACATCATGGTAAACTTGATGAAAAGGGGAGGGGGGGCGAACGGAGACCTCCCCTAATTGTTTGACTTCCGGTGCTGATCTCGGATCCCGTCCCCAAAATGTTAATATTTTGTTTACCCTTTTGAAGACAAAACACGAAAGTGTCGGGGACTGTATCAGGGATTGGCGCCGGAAGTGAACAAGCTCTATGTTCACCGTTCACCTTCCTGGCGCCACGGCGGTGCGATGCGATACGATACCTTGAAGGACCGAGTGACAAAGAGCGGGATCTCCATGTGGATCCACTCGTTGGTAGAAGTGTTGTTGGACCAGAGCTGGAACGTAGTGGCCGCGTCGTGGTTCAACTGCGTCGATTTTTTCAGGTACGCCTGGTCCAGCTGAAACGAAACAATCGGTTTCGTCAACACCCCGCGGCCTGCTCTGCCGACAGCCGCCACCCCGTCGCCCTCTTTTACAGGACACGATCCTAGTTCAAGGCAGACTCACCACGAGCTGCGCTTCACCGTCAGTTTCGATTAGATAATAAAATCGCACGCAGCCCAACTCGCCGCGCACACTGGACAGGGCACTGCTGATCGGCGGGAAGTTGATGGACATGAAGTGGCCCGGAGTGGTGCCAGCCGTGTCGAAGGACCTGCACCGATCAAATTGAATGATTGGTTAATAAGTGGAAGTCGAATGATTTGCTATAATTTGTGGGTTGAAATGCGACACTCACGTGTACACGTATCCGTCGGTCTGGTTGACGGTCCTCCAGCTCCAGTTCGGCGATCCACCGTTCTTGAAGCCGCACACGTGCTTGTTGAAGTCACAGTTGACATCGTAGGGGAAACCGGCCTTCGGCTTTTTAGCTGCGGGCCATTCAACGAAAGCATTAAAATTATGCCGAGCCCATGAGGCGACAGAAAATTCTCAAGATGACTTCAAGTCATGTCACTGGTCAAAATTTCTCGGCAATCTAAAATAACTTCACGATGCCATCACGTGACGTCCTTGGCCAGTAAACAAATAGCAGGTGGCTGATTAACTCCGCCCACTTCTGTAGTTATACCGTGGCGAGTAAGGCAGCGAGTAAGGTACTGTATATACATAACTAAAGAAGTGCGCGGTGTTGATCAGCCACTTGGTATATTGCGCTAGTTGTTTGTTTTTTTCGAGGGGGGGGGGGCGTTCTCAAACGTACGGTCGCACTGGTACAGCTTGCGCAGGCGGCGCTTGTCGCTGGCGCTCAGCCCCCTCTTCCTCCAGATCGGCCCGATCTCCTCGCCCGTCGTGGCCTGCAGCGTGGGTGACCGCCCGTCCTGCGAGTCACAGGTCATTATGAACCTCATCGTGTCCTCAGGGTACTCAGCGGCGAAGACTTCCGTCCACGCGCCCACCGAGCAATTACCTGATTTAGGGTAATTAGGCCAAATCACACCCAAAGTAAGGCACCGTTCAAAAGTTACGTCATTTTAAGAGGTGGGGCACGTGCCTGGGGTACACTTTCTAATGAGTCTTCCCAATGAGTTCAAGATTTTTGGCCGCTGTGAAAAAGTTACCCCAACAAGCAAGATAATGTTGTGCAGGGTGGTCCTCCAGCCCCGTCCTTTCTTCTGGTTATGTATACTGTACCGGATACAGGCGTCCGGACGGACTGCATACTCGCACGGCGCCATGAGGCGCCTCGGTGAGCGACGATAGGCAAGCCCGCCCGCACGCCTGAATCCGGTACAGTATAACCAGAAGGAAGGGCGAGGCTGACGGACCACCCTGGGATTTGTGTGAGTGGACCGAAAAAGTTCGTGAGAAAAGTACCCCTCCGCTGAAAATGGACATAATTTGTGTACGAACCCTCATGGGGTCGCATGCGCTCTTACCTTGGAGAAGGCGTACTCATCGTACATCATGATGGAGTTGTAGTCGAAGCGCTCGTTGAGGGTGTTGACGGCGGTGTGCTTGCGGAACGCGGACGCGAAGCCCGGGATGATGTTCTGCCAGTACACGTAGATCCAGTCGTCGCGGTCGGGCCGGTTCATCTCGTGCCAGAAGCCGATGGCGTGGCCCAGCTCGTGGATCACAATCCCCTTGTACCAGCAGCGCTGTCCCAGGGACAGCCGCTGCTCGCCGTCACCCTGCTTGCCGACGGGGGACCAGCACGCGCCGCTGCTGCTCGGGACAAGGGAGCGCAGGGGTGAGTGAGACTCTGAGGGGAGTGAGATCAATCCCCCTCCCCTGCCCTCGGCGGCCTATAAAATTAAGGTGACATTTTATGTCGCTAGCTATACAATTCTGTCGCGAGGGTGCCGCTAGCGACACGAGCGCCCGCGCGCGTGGCCGCGAGCCGATCGGGCGAGCAACGGCTGGGGAGCAGCCAAATTGCAGCTGCTGTTTAGCAATAAACCTTCATGTCCTGGGCTACAGCGGGAAAAGAATCGGTTGTAGCTGGCATCAAAGTTTCACCTTAACTTTATAGGCCACGGGGCTCTTCGCGGCCACGGCACCGCGGACCACGTGACCCACCTGTCGCTGTTGAAGAAGATGGACACCCAGTTGTCTTCGCCCGTCCACTGCTTGAAGCGGATACATGAGTGTTCGTGGTAGTGGTCCATGGCTGCCATAAGAATCGCACACTGGGGACTCTCGGGACAACCTGCATGGGTGGGTGGGCGTTAGCAGGGAGGACGTTAGCAGACACGGGCAGGACCTCCCCCTACCCCCACCCCCTCAAAACACACTTACCCACGTCGTCGTCCACCTTGTATACCACGGTGGCGTGCGGCCAGAGCAGGTTGGGGTCGCTTACGGCGTTCTTTGTCTGAAAGAGGGGATGATTACAGGTAGACGTCTCGCCTCACCCGGGCTCCGTCTCCACCTCACCGCGCACTCACGTCGGGGTCCTCCTTGCTGGTCGCATCCTTGCGCAGGATGTCCCCCTCAAAGAAGCCCTTGTTGTACAGTCCGTGGTCCGTGCCGGGCAGGATGGGCCTGAAGTTTGCACTGTTGTTGTTGATGGGGTGGAGGGCGACGGGGTACTCTTGCCACGGCGCGTGGCCGTGCGGCCTGTGGCCGGCGTGCACTACCAGGTGCGCCGGGAAGGGCGCGGCCCGCGCGACCCCCGCGAGGCACACGTGCAGCAGGAGCAGCTCGAGGAGCAGACTGGCCGCCTGGGCCAGGGCACCGGTGGGGGCGCCGCCATTCAGCCTGAGGTAATGGAGCAGATTGGCAGTGAGGCAGAGTGAACGGGCGGGCCATGAGGAGGAG